TTATATTAATATATTAATGTGTGATGATTCCTCACACTGCTTAAAAATTGGCAACAGTATCTTTTAATGATATAAATATAAACAATTTGATGTGCAGAGCAGAAATGACCATTTCATCGGGATAGAGAAAGAGAGTGGGATCAGAGGATTGAGGACTTTGCAAGAGCGGAGGCATACAAGTTGGTCACACAATCCGAACGTGTGTAGCGCGGCAATTATTTATGACCCTCAAACTGCCAGAGCAAACAAGAAGCCTTAGGGGCAGGCATCACAATGCGAGACGGTCAAGGAGGGGGATAGCATCTCTCTCGCAGCTGGGGCCAGGTGTACTGGCAGCAATAGGGTGGCAAGCTACTCGTCGTGGTCGACTCGGTGACGCACATACAGAATGCGAATATTTGCAAGAGGCCACACGCCAGTGAACTGGCAGTGTTGCTAAGCTAACAAAGCTAACAAAGCTAACACAAAATCCGCCATCCGACCAGAATCACTAAACCAAAAATAAGAAAAAGAAAAAAAAAAAAACATAATAGGAGCCTCAAAACAAAATTGAGAATATTTATCAATAGTTAATTTTAAAATTTTATATAAATATCTTTTTTATCACAGCCATAAGTTTAGGTTTTATCTTTCGATCATCGTCAAATAAATCACATTTATAAAAGTCTCTTAAGGAATTTCGGGAATGCAGTCAGTTATAATGGAGCGGAGTGAGAGGAGAGTTGAGCCGGCCGGGTGAGTCGTGCCGTAAATAAAAACGAATATACTAATTTCACTTTCGTGAATAATTATAAAAACATTTAATTACTAAATTTCATTAGATTTCATAAGCCAAGAATTATTTGATATTCCGATGGAATATCATATTTATGAAGTATATATTAATATTTATGTATTTATATATATCTCTTTTTGAAAATTGATATTTTACTGTATTTATTTCCATAAAATACTAGCTGAGAACAACACCGGATCTGACCGAAAAAAGGCTGAATTGGCAGCACTGACACAAACAGAAACACATACATATATACATAGATATATTTATATGTATATATGTAATTGATGCAGTTTACGAAATGCACGGGGTAAGAGAGATGAAGAGATATAAAAAAGAGAGCGAGAGGAGAGAAGAGGAGTAGGAAACTCGTTGCAGGAGAGCCCTTGTAAAGATAAAAGATAAGGAAACTGCAGCAAGAACCTTTCACGCGCCTCATTTCCTAAGTGTGGTGCTGTGTCTGTGTCTGTGTGCGTGAGAGTGTGTTTGTGTATGTGTGGGCATGAGTGTTCAGTTTCCTGCAAGCTGATGGCAAATGCGGCGTTTGCACTTCAAAATTAACTAATTTTATAGAACAGACATTATCTTTGTAGTCATATAAAATAGAAATAGAGAATGAGAGTGGGAGAGGGAGAGGGAGAGAGAGGGATGAAGACTGAGAGTGGGAGAAGTGGCACAGCCTAAGCTTGGGTATGCAATTTATATATTGAGAGGATATCGACCCCAGTCAAGGCAGCTGTGTTGGAGTCGCATAGAGCAGGTCAGGCATCGAATCTGGCACATCATCAGCAATGCAGATAAGATGCAGCATATCAAATGAGTTGCTGCCTCTGTCTCAAGGCAAGACTCTAGAAAACAGATCAAGTTAAACTTACATTTAGCCATACATTTTTAATGTGAATGCTCAGCTAAGCAAAGCGGCAGAGCGAGTTGCAAAGTTGTATTATTTTTTTTACGTATTAAAAATAACTGCAACTAAGGTTCAAGCAGATTAAAATGTAGCTGATAATGCAATCAACTTGATTATAAGATTCAAAACTCTTCCTTATTCTATTTACTTTTATATTTATTTAAAGTCTGTTTTTGAAATATTTATTTAATATCAGGACCTATTCAAGGTTGTGAACTACACAGGGAAACATGTTTCCCTACATTAGTAGATGTATTTGTATTTGAAATTGTATTGGTATATTATATTATTCCAACATGAGAGAAATTTATTTATCTTGCAACAGTTTTAAAATGATCTGAAGATGTATTTTGTTTTTTCCTTGAATATTAAAATATTTGATTTCTGCAAACTAAGTGTAAATTTAACGTATTATAAACAATATTTCAGCTATCGATATATATGTAGATATAAAGCAAACATTTAAGTTTATTTAATTCAAACCTTCAATAAATATATGAACTTTATGCTTATGAGTAAGAGATGCCTGTGAATGCGTTATCCAACACTAAACATAAGTGCACAAATATTTGTTTTGTAACGCACGCAAAGTCCTAGTGCCAATTGATGTGGCAACGGGAACACTTGCTGGCCGAGGGGCATAAACAAGCACAGTTGAACGCACATAGTGCACGACCCAAGGAGGCTCCACGCACTTTACCCTCTCCCTTCCCCCATTCCCTCACGACCCGTGCCAATCTCTGTGGAGCCCCGGATTAGTTGAGGCGAGATAAGCCCCAGTTTCTAGGGTGTTTATAGCCGCGTTGCGCTCGTGTCGCTGGCAGCTCAGCTCCTTGGACATATGAATTGATAATGCAGCAAATGCAGCAGCAGCAGCAGCAACAGCAGCAGGAACTGGAGCATAGACAATAACGGCGACAAATATTCATGCAAAATTGATGCCTGAACAAGAGCTTAGGCTGCCGTTTTATGCGCCCAGCATCTGTAAATCGTGTGCCTTGCCCTCAAGGGTCAGAGGACCAGACAACAGCCAGCTGTGTTGCCAGACTGGCAAAAAATCAAATTGATCAATTTGCAGGTAGATTTGGTATGAAGTAAAAAGTTT